AGAGGTGGACAGAGAGAACCCAAAGCTGTCCTCTGACCTTCGTATTAACGCCATGAATACATCCATATGCACGTGCGCGCACATACACACACAATAAAAATAAAATACTCAGGAAAGGGCTATAGAATAAATTACTCCCTCCTCCTTAACAACAGCCAATACTCATCTCTCAACTCCCAGACCTGGCCATCTCCTTCCTTCCCTTGTCTGTTTTTCCTTTTCTGTAGGCTTGGACAAAGGGAGGCACTGGCAGAAGATGATTTTGGGAGAGAGAAAGACATTAGTTCTTGGGCCCTTCCCAGTTCAGATCACTATAGCTGGCCCGTGTACATAAATGCCTGTTTTTAGGCTCTGAAGACCTATTTTCTTTTCCATGCCTCATCAGAGGCTCCCAATGTTTCCCTATCCTCTGCCTACCCACTCAGTACAGGAAGGTTCCAAAGCTTCTGGCCAGCACCCCCCCACCACGCTTAGCCTCCCTCAGGGTTCCCAGCTCTGTCCAGCTTTCCTCCTTCTCAATATGGGGGAAAATCGCTCTCTGGGCCCTCCAGGAGTCTGCATACTTGGTCTTCACCCTCCATCACTCAGCATCTTTTGAAACCACAGTCTATACCAGGCTTCTTTTGACACATTTGTCTTGCTTTCATAGCTGGGGTTGGGGAACGTGCACATTAGCCTGATTCTTTCTCTCTCCCTAGATACTGGGGCCCTCTTTGCTCTGGGAAGATGTCCCAGCCGCGGTATTTCACCTCCTCATCCTCCCCCTGTCCATGCTAAGGCTATCTCTGTCCTTGAACCCATAAGATGTTTCTAGAACCCTGTCCCAAGAATCCAGTTCTCTTAGATTAGACGTGCCTCTAATCCTCAGTGCCTTCCCTGTACATCTGTGTCTCCCTTTGCCTAGACTTAACCACGGTCATCTCAGTTCAGCCTGCCTTACCCTCTCTGGCTCTGCCTCCACTCTATCTGACCCCCTTACTCGCTCCCAAATAAAGTTCCACGCACAAATTTGTCCGATCTTCTTCCTTGCTGGTAGTTTGAAGTTTCTTACAACCCTGTGTCATTTTAGCCCACACCGGCCTGAAGAATGGAAGAACGATAAATCAGCGAGGGTGAGGGGCTTACTTAAAGTGGAGCACGTGTTCACTCTTAAACTGGCCCCTTCCAGGCAATCTTCCTTCGCTTCCTCCTACCAGGTCACTGCCCCATTCCTTACTACACGAGGCCAGATCACATTCTTGCCACGTCTCTGTCCCTGTCTAGCTTTGTCTCCTCTGACTGACAGTGTCCTACCAGAGAGGCATGAACTAATGAACAGACGAATGAATGAATGGACGAGTGAGTGGGTGGATGGACGGATGGTGGAAAGGGGGCTGAAGGCAAGGGCTTAGAGAACCTGGTTTGGAACCCAGCCCTCCACTCCCGCCCAAAGCGATGTTTATGCTAGGTCCCCAGGTCAGGAAGAAATTGGCTCCCCGTTTGATTGATTCAGGCTGGGGAAGACCAATCTTGGTCAAAGGACTCTGACCAATGAATATGATCCCTTAGAAGACTTTTACTCTGCAATTGCGCGCGGGGTGGGATGGGGTGGGGTGGGGGTAGGGGAGATTGACGGAAGGCAGAGCCTTCTGGTTACCCTGGCAACCGTCCCAGCAACTGTCCAAGGCCTCCGGTCAGCCTTTGCCTGGGCCTCTCTAGTCACCCAGACAACCGCTACCTCGTTCTGGTCAACCATCAACCCTTCTCCCGTCACCCTGGCAACCATCAGTGGACCCACCACCTTGGTGTCGATTCTCATCCAGCTTACAGATTTTCTCGTCCCAGACCTCCACTCTAGGCTCTGAGAGCCCCTCCTCCTGACCTGCAGGGAGGCAGGCTTTGGTTCCACTCTATAGTGTGTGTAAGGCCGGGCCCTAAGGGTCCCCCCCGCTCTGCAGTCTGAGAAAGTCCTTTCCTGTTCCCCCTGCTCATTCTTGCATGAACTGTCCAGCCGCCACAGGCAGCTCTTCAAAATGCAAGCCATGTACCTCCTCTGCGGGGGGGAAAAAATCGCTCGGCTTTCTTTGACGATCAGTCAGCTTGCAGCCCCTGATGGTCTGGGAGTGACTAGCCTGTTATTCCAATGTCCAGAGCTCATTCCCTCCTCAGACCTTCCTAGGAACTGTTTCCCATTCCTGGGAAAAGTTCATCAGGGCCTGCCTCCTCGTGTGGCTCCTCAGGGAGGCCTTATCTGAATTCTGTCACTCACTGACATAGCCTCTTAATCTCTCCCCATCTGTGAACTCCAGAATTCCAAGATGGTCCATTCTATGACTCACGATCTATGCCCGGAACTGACAACAGTGGCGGGAGTCGGTACAAGCATGTCTCTGAGAATGATGATGTAGCTCTAGCACCACACACACAATAAATAAATGTAATTTTAAAAAACAAGAAGGCAGGCAGGTAGGATGGTTAGGTGGGTAAAGATGCCTGATCACCAAGCCTGATGATCTGCATTCTGGTCCCAGGACCCACCTAGCGGACAGAAATAACCAACTCCTGCAAGATGTCCTCTGACATCCCATGTACACGCGCACGCACACACACACAAATGCACATGAAATAAAGAAATAAAATGCAATTTTAAAAAAGAGAGAGTGGGGTACACGCCTTTGATTCCAGTCCTTAGGAGGCAGTGACAGGTAGATCTCTGTGGGTTTGAGGCCAGCTAGGGCTATATGGCAAGATCCTGTCTCAAAATAAATAAATAAATAAAAATTAAAAACAACAATAACATAGGCCGGGCGATGGTGGTGCACGCCTTTAATCCCAGCACTCGGGAGGCAGAGGCAGGCGGATCTCTGTGAGTCCGAGACCAGCCTGGTCTACAGAGCTAGTTCCAGGACAGGCTCCAAAGCTACAGAGAAACCCTGTCTCGAAAAAAAAAACAAAAAACAAACAAACAAAAAAACAACAACAACATAATAAACAGCTAGACATGGTACTATACGCCTTTAATCCAAGTACTAGTGAGCCAGGAGCAACTGATCTCTGTGAGTTCCCAATCAGCCTGGTCTACATAGCAAATTCTAGGCTATACAGTGAGACCCTGTCTCTAAATAAATATGTCAGCTAATTAATTAATTATAAAAGATTAAGTAATAGAAATAATATTATGATTATTATGACTACCTTGGAGCTGGTGGCCTACCTCCACACTTGGTCTGTAATCATTTTATTTTTCTAAGACTGGGTTTTGTTCTGTAGCCTAAGCTGGTTTCAGGCTCACTCTGAAGCTCAGGTTGGCCTCGAACCTATGATCATTTTCCACAGCCTCCACTGTACTGAGATTATAGGCTTGCACCACCCACCATGCCCGACCTTCACCCTCCATTTGTAACCCCATCATTTGGGGGCTGGGTCCACAGGCCTGTAGACACTCAGCAGAATTTTGGCCAAGTCATATATGAGGGCATACACCTGTAACCCCAGTACTCAGGAGGCTTTGGGGGAAAAAAATCTCCAGCTCAACACTGACCTCAGCTATGAATAACAAAAAATGGCAGTTTGGAAGAGAAGATAATAAGAGCTGGAGGCCTCAGATCCCAGATGGATCCCAGATGAAATCTATATATTTAGTATAGTGTGTGTGTCTGTGTGTGGGGGGGGGGAGGTCAGGTCTGACCTTCCGTCGTGTGAGCCTCGGGGATTGAGGTCATCAGGTCATCAGGCCTAGTGGCAAGCACCATCTCGTGCTCCCAGATGGCCACGCAGTGAGCTGAGGACTTCTTGTGCCGAGTCTAGCATCCCAGGCTTTCTAACAGAGCCCAGAGATACTTCCCTGAGGATCTGAGACAGGATGAGAAGAGAGCTTGCCTTGAATTTGGTCATGATGGCGAGGGGATCATTGGGAGCTGCCCTGGGTTAGCTGGGAAGCAGTGGGAGCAACTCACCTGTTCTCCTACGAGGATTCATTCTTGGTGAGGTGATTAGAAGCCAGCAGGGAGGCACCTTACTCTTTGTTGTTCTTATTTTTTTTTTTGAGAAAATGAGCTAAAAGTTGTATTTATTTTTTCCTCCATTTAAACCCTTCCATGACATCCTTGGCCTGAGAGTCTTTGCCATAGCCCTTAACCACTACACAACTGCAACCAACCACTGTACCTGGCTTCCCCTCCTCCTCAGTCTCGAGGCCTACCCATTTCCCTGGTTTCTTGTTGTCACCAACCGTGATTACGTTGATTTGGTGCTCAGCACAAGGCGTCTCCACCAGCTTGGCAGAGGCTCATTGCAGCTGGATGTCAGCACACAGGATGGACTTAGCATTTGTCTGAGACCCTGACAACTTCACAGATGCCAAGCTCTCGACTGTTGTGGATGAGGACGATCTTCAGCGCCTCTTGTTACACCACCAGCTACAATGCCTTCCTGGGCCGTGGCTCTTGGCAGTGGATTACAGATTACAGGCAAGGCTGAATCTTGATCACACCCTACCCTCCACCTCCTCACAACTCCGAAGCAGCAGGGGAAAAGCTCTTGTTATTCATTTATTAAGGCGTGTTACTGCTGTGAAGCCCAGGATGGCCGTGAATAAAACAATATTCGCACCTCAGCTCTTCAAGTGTTGAGATCACAGGGGGGGGGCACCATTATGTCCAACAAGCCCCTCTTTCTTTGTAAAAGTTGATTTACTTATTTTGTATGCATGTGGTTGTGTGCACATTCAGTTGAAGTCAGACCGTCAGGCTTGGTGGCAAGTGTCCTCATCTACTGGGACATCTTTCTTATTTTTTTTTAAATATTTATTTATTTATTATGTATACAATTTTATGTCTGTGTGTATGTCTGCAGGCCAGAAGAGGGCACCAGACCCCATTACAGATGGTNGTGTATGTCTGCAGGCCAGAAGAGGGCACCAGACCCCATTACAGATGGTTGTGAGCCACCATGTGGTTGCTGGGAATTGAACTCAGGACCTTTGGAAGAGCAGGCAATGCTCTTAACCTCTGAGCCATCTCTCCAGCCCCTGGGACATCTTTCTTAAAGCGGTAATACCATCACTGAAAGAGTCTGATACAACGTTCTGTGCTTTAGGTGATTTGGCACTTAAAACACAGTTGTTTTGACCAAGGCACTGTATTTTTAAAATACAGTGTATTTCTTGCTGGGCAGCAGTGGCACACGCCTTTAGTCCCAGCACTCAGGAGGCAGAGGCAGGTGGGTGTCTGTGAGTTCGAGGCCAGCCTGGTCTACAGAGTGAGTTCTAGGACAGTGGAGGCTTCACAGAGAAACCCTGTCCTGAATAAAAAATTTTTTTCTTCATTGAATTTTTTTTTATGTGTATGAGTGTTTCGCTTGAATGTATGTATGTGCACCATGTGCATGCCTGTGGCTCAGGGATGCCAGAAGAGGGTATCAGATCCCTTGGACATGCCTTTACAGATGGTTGTGAAACCCCATATATGAGTGCTAAGAACTGAATTCATATCCTCCACAAGAGCAACAAATACTCTTAACCCCTAAGTCACCTTCCCAGAGACACTGTATTTTTCATAGCAAATGAAACTTCCTTTTTGCTAATTAACATTTAAATTGAAGTATCCCTGTAGGTTAGGAAGAAATTGGATGCAGCCAGTGGTGACGGTGCATGCCTTTAATCCCAGCACTCTAGAGGCAGAGGCAGGAAAATATCCCAGCACTCTAGAGGCAGAGGCAGGAAAATGTTTGAGTTCAAGATCAGCCTGCTCTACAAAGTGAGTTCCTGGACAGCCAGGGCTAAACAGAGAAATTCTGTCTCCAAAAACAAAAAGAAATAAATTGCATGCACTATTGAACGAGCCCTAAGCTGCAGACTGGAGGTGGAGAACCGGGTAGAAAGGTTAGAATGTGTGGTTTGTGAAGCGACTGAGGAAGGAACACTTTGGAAAGGCGAGTCCCATCACCTAACTCCATAAGGGAGAAGCATTCCTGGCTGCCAGAGTCCAAGTGGTTTCCCACACATGCAAACAAACACCTATGCTATGTGTGAGGCAGGGCACCCATAGTTGCCTTTTGTGTGCAACGCAGGAGCCATTTGCTGTGGGTGAGCTGGGAGTCCATTCTGTGCACACACCGCACAGACTCTCAAGGCACACAAGGACGTGGGTACGTGATCCCGCATGTATCATGTATCTGTTGGGCTGGGGAGCAGGGGCTACTCGTCCAGCAGGTCTTGCAAGAAGGCCCACATGTACTGATGCATCTCCTGAGGATGGGTCTGTGGAATCCAATGCCCGCTGCCTGGCAGGATGTGGCTTTCCAGCCGACCCGGCACAAAGCGACTACCAATGGCTCCCACAAGCCCCTGCTGTAAGGTGTGGTCTTTCTCCCCCCACAGCAGCAGTGTGGGCGTGGACAGTTCTTGGGGCTCCAGGGGGAAGTTCCTGTGGCCAAGACAGACAATTAGAAAGATGAATGGCTACCCTCGGTTTTTCGTGGGAGGGGGTGGCACTCTCCTGAGCTTCTCTCTTGGGTGTAGCCTTACCTGAACAAGTTCCGATAGTAGTTGATGGGCCCCGTGAGGCCTCCAGGTTGTGAGAAGTGATAAAGGAATGCTTCGAGTTCACAAGGGGTGAGACGTGGGATGCCCGTCTTGCGGTCGGTGAAAACGGCTTTTAGAATCTGGGTGTACACAGTAGAGTGCCGGTTTCAGTGTCCGGCCTTCTCAACCCCAATCTGCTATCCCCCATTCCTAGACCTCAGCCCTCACTGCACCTGGAAGTCGGACAAAGATAATAGCGTCTCTGGCAGCCAGGGGAGCTGGAACAGGAACATGTAGTTTGATCGGAATAACTGGCCAATGTGACGGGTTGAGTATTCTGGGAAGAACGTAAAAGATGTGAGGTCCGGGCTTGAGATAGCCCTGTGATCCTATATCCTTACGCACCCAGCTCAGGCACACAGGCATCTAGAGCACCACTACTGCTGGTCTGTCTGTGAAGATGCTAGTCAGGTACTGCGAACACTCTGTCTTTACAGCTGCAGAACAGGCAAAGCTGGAGCCATGGCTCAGTGTTTAGAAGTGCTTGCTGCTTTCCCAGAGGCCCTAAGTTTATTTCCTAGTACTCATATTGGGTGGCCTGTAACTCTCGCTCCATGGAATCTAATGCCCTTTTCTGGCCTCCATGGCACTCCTATACNGAGAGAGAGAGAGAGAGAGAGAGAGAGAGAGAGAGAGAGAGAGAGAGAGAGAAACAGAGAAAGATAACAAAAATAACTCATTAAAAAATAACAGGCGGTGGTAACGCACACCTTTAATCCCAGCACCCAGGAGGCAAAACCAGGTGGATCTCTGAGTTTAAGGCCAGCCTGGGCTATGCAGAAAACCCTGTCTCGAAAAAGCAAAAACAAACAAAGAAACAAAAAAGAATGGAGTGCCTCCCTCTGCAGCTCCTGAGTGCCCCCAGAGATACCTGCAGGCTTCCCCTGCTTAGGCCTGGACACCTGCTTCACCAAGTAAACATTTATTGAGCACCTACTGTGTACCAGGCTCCTGCAGAAAGGGGTAGAAGGAGACAGATACCTAACACAGTAAAGATTACAGTGCTATTTCAGGTAAGGTATGGGGTGTAGTTCAGTGTAGAGTAGTATGTGATTAGTAATCTTGACGTGCTAGATTCTATTACCTCCCCTTCCACCCCCACACCATCTAACCAATAAAGACCAAGTGACAAAAGACATTAGGTGGCCAGAGAGGGCACCTGATTCTGTTGTGGTGTGGTTGATGAGTTGCCTGTGTCTCTGCTGTCAAAAGAAAGACATCAGTGCTGGGTGTAGAGGCACAGGCATTGAGTCCAGCATTCAGGAGGCAGAGGCAAATGTCTCTCTATGAGTCTGAGACCAGTCTGGTAGATCATAGAGCTCCTGCCGGCTAAGGCTACATAGTGTGACTCCTTTCTCAGAAAAAAAGAGAGAAGGGGCTGAAGAGACAATGTCATTGCCTTTGCCTCAGTTTCCCTCTGCTGGAACATGAAGCTAACAGCACGTTTGTAAGCTCAAGAGCCTTGTAAAGTGACGCCTGCAATTTTATCATAGACAACCGGCAGGCAGGGGTGACCACCCTCATCCCCCACCCCCATTTTTTTCTTTTTTGTTTATTTGAGACTGGGTATTTTTGTATACCCTTGTAACTAGCTCCATAGACCAGGCTGGCCTCGAACTCACAGAGATCTGCCTGCCTCTGCCTCCCGAGTGTTAGGATTAAAGGGGTGCGCTTGGATTCTTTGAACAGCAAGTGCTCTTCACTACTGAGCTCTCTTTCCAGCCCCCGCCCCCCGCCAGTAATAGGTGTATGTTAGCATAGCCAGCTCCACAAACTTCCTTCATTTACAAAATTGCTAAAATTATTGTGTTAATTACTTTCAGTTTATGTGTAGAAAGTGTACAAGAAGATTGAATTAATTTCATGCTTAGATTTAGGCCCTAGCAACAAGTTATCTTTTTATATGCGTAAATACTGTAAAATAAAACAAAATGCAAAATCAGAAACACTCCTGACTGGGGCGTCCTCTCCCTCCTCTCTCTCTCTTTCCCACCCTTCTTCTCTCTCTTTCAAAACAAAACGTTGGAGATTACATCCAGGCCCTCTAATATTCTAAACAAATGTCCATATACTCCAGCCGTAGTCTAAAGCATTTTGTTAGACTCACCTCCAACCTGGAAGTGCTCAAGAAAAAAGGTGGGTTGTTCCTAAGGGTACTCTCATTGATTTCAGTCCCTGACATGGTGATAGGTCCCAGATACATACGTACCCTGGCATTGAGGCATATCCCAACACTCCCAACGCACCTTGGAACACCGACATAGGAGGTCCACTGACCACAACCATCCGCTCCACTAGAGACGGGAAGTAGATGGAGAAATTCCAGGCAAGGACAGCCCCCCAGTCATGGCTCACAAGGATGCACTTGGAGTACCCTGAGGGAGTAGGGGGCACAGACACGATGGTGTAAGATGTAGTAGGGGTGAGGCAGACTTATGGGAGTGGGTCCCAAAAGGGGCAAAGATGAGGAGATGAGGGGAGGGGAGAGGCCTCTCCTGAGTTGGGCACTGACTCATACCCAGGCCTAGAATGACATCCTTGATATCAGCCAATAGCAGGTCAATAGTATAACAATCCACATCCTTTGGAGCGTCAGAGGGGCCATAACCACGCAGGTCAACAGCTACCACATGGAAACGGCTCTGAAACTCCCGAAGCTGGTGGCGCCAGGAGAACCTGCCCGGTGAGGGAGTTTGGGTTGAGTCAGCCGCCTGCAGGATGTACCTCCTATACCTGGCAGATACCTTGAGTCACCCCACATTTCTGCTCTGGACTTCTTAGAAAGGAAAGGGGGGAATCCCAGGCAGAGAGGCCCAAGGCCACCTCCCCTTCAGCAACCCTCTTGTTCAATCACTTCAGAGGGATAACCAGTCCCCCCTGGGCCAGCATCTAGATCCCTTTGCACCCCATGTGGACTTCATATGCTCTGCACCCTCATGGCTACTCAACCCCGTTGGTTCCCATTTCCTAAGTAAACCGTGGTCAGAACTCTACCCAGTCCAGGGAGCACCAGAACCCAGAGACCCAGACGTACCAGTTCTCTGGGAAGCCATGCAGAAACAGCATGAGGGGCCCGTTGCCACGACCAGCAGAGACATAGTGAAGCCGCAGACCCGAACTCTGCAGGAGGGCCCAATCTAAGTAAGAACTGAGGAAGGTAAGGGAGCTTCCTTCCTAGATGAGCCCCGAGATCTATTTGGATTCGACGTTTCAACACCCTTTCTTCATTCTGCATCCACCCCACGAAACCTGCCTCCAAGAGGCACTCACCCTAAGGGTCAGAAAGAAGTGCTGGCCCAGCGTGGGGTCTCTTAGGCAGTCCGGCGCCGACAACCGCTGGCGGCCGCAACAGCCCCGGCGGGGGCGGCACAGCACGTTGGTGAGCGCGACGCAGCTGTAGACGACCGCGGCCACCAAGGCAGCCAAATACACCAGGCTCATCACTAAAGCTCGCAGCAACTTCAACGAGAGGCGTGAGGGCGCCAACAGCGCCGTCACCACAAACTCCGGCATATCTTCGCGCTCGGGGACGACGACAGAGTCCTGGACGGAAGACTGAGCCGGGGGTGCTGGCCCCGGGGGCCCACCGCCTTTGTTTTGGGATCCCACTGTGCTGTCCGGCGCTGCGGGACCCGCTGAGGAAGCAGGTGACCCGCTGGGGCAAAGACTGCCACCGCACATGACTCACTCCGAAGTGGCAGGTGAACTACCTGGGCCGGCTGAGACACTTAAGGATGAGGGGGTGGAGCCTAAGAGGACCTGGTTTCTGTGGTTGGGGAGGAACTTGGGGGGGAAAGAGGGACCGTGGGCGGCGCCCTGGGACATCTTGAATGGAACAGGGGATTAAAATGATTCCCGTAGCAGGCGGCAGTGTCCAGAGCCTGGACATGATTCAGCAGGTAAGGGCCACCCAAGTTTGATCCCAGGGAAGCACACAGTGGAAGGAGAGACCTGACCCTCACAACTTGTCCTCTGTTCACACTCATGCTGCAGGACGTGCACCCCTTGGTGCTTTAATCTCAGCCCTCGGGAAGCAGAAACAGACAGATCTCTGAGTTCGAGGGCAGCCGCTTTACTTAGCAAGTTCTAGATCGGTCAGGGCTACGTGAAAAAGCAAACGAACAACAAACAAACAAAACCAGGAACTGGCAAGACTCTAAAGAAAAGGAGAGGTGAAGCCTGGAGGAACAGAGGCAAGCGCCCTGTGGGGTGGGTGGAGCCTTGAGCGAAGGGGCGTGGCATATCCAGGGTGGGTAGACCCAATTTAGTCCAGATGCCCCCAGCAAGGGTGAAGGGCGTGGTTTATGAAGGTGGAGGAGGAATTAGGCGGAGTCTGTATTTGGATGAGAAAGACGGAGGCTGGGCTTGATGGCTTGGGTAAAGGCCAGACCCAAGAACTGAAATTTGTTCTGGAGCTGGAAAGGGGCCGGAAACATGAGTGTGGAACAAATCCAGAAGCGGAAGGCCTGACAACGTTATATAGCCGGGAGTAGTAGGCAGGTGTGGGCAGGAGTCGTCTCCCCGTGTACTTCCCAAAACTTCCCAAGCGAGAGGGCGAGTCATTCCCTTGACCTGGTCTGAATGTACCCACCAGTGCTTTACCTGGTTCCAACCCCGCGGTGTCCTCTTCTTTCGTTGGCTTAGAAAGTCCGTCGACTGTGATTGGATAGCAGTGGCCATTGATTTCTTCTGCTGGGTTGATTTCTAAACGACAGGTGGGGCCTAGGTGTTAAACAGCCGGTGTTGAGGCGCAGGCTCTGTAGGTGGCAGACAACCTTGGGCAGACCCTGCCCCCCCCCCCCCAAGAACTGGAAGCTGGAGCTAGCCTGGGCAGATTGGGTCACTGGGGCTGGGCTTCAAAGAGGAAGCAGGGCAGTACCCGGTATGAGTCGTATCTAGCAAGAGGCTAGCTTCTTTCGCAACCTTTCTCAAGATCCTTGACTATTTTAGGAACACCCATTATTTTTATTTATTTATTAAAGATTTCTGTCTCTTCCCCATTTCCCTCCCCCTCCCCCAGTCAAATCCCCCTCCCTCATAAGCCCAAAAAGCCCAAAAAGCAATCAGGGTTCCCTGCCCTGTGGGAAGTCCAAGGACCACCCACTTCCATCCAGGTCTAGTAAGGTGAGCATCCAAACTGCCTAGGCTCCCACAAAGCCAATACGTGCAGTAGGATCAAAAACCCATTGCCATTGTTCTTTTTTTGGGGGGGGGGGTTCGAGACAGGGTTTCTCTGTGGCTTTGGAGCCTGTCCTGGCACTAGCTCTGTAGACCAGGCTGGTCTCGAACTCACAGAGATCCGCCTGAGTTCTCAGTAGTCCTCATTGTCCGCTATGTTCAGCGAGACCGGTTTTAACCCAGGTTTTTTCAGACCCAGGCCAGCTGGTCTTGGTGAGTTCCCAATAGAACATCCCCATTGTCTCAGTGTGTGGGTGCACCCC